TTGGATTTGTGATCTTTACCTTTCCAGATCTTACCCTTGCAGTGTTTTTTTTTTTTTTTTGCCTGTCACCTTCCATTCTAATCACCCCTCATCAATTTTTAAAAATTTTTAAATGTTTAGCTTCTATGTACCAGTAACAAGAATGTGCCTAATATGTTTGTAACTTCTAAAATCATTAATAATTCAAAACTGAATCACTTATGACATTGCATGAACACTAAGTGTTCATAAGAGTACAAACCAAGACTTATGCTACACATTGAAAAAAAGTAATTATTTCAAACAAATATAGTTCCAGTGGGAGGCAATCGTACCCAATGGAGTGCTAAATTTAAGAAGACTGATAATGTCAATTGTCAGTGGGAATCTGGGACAACTGAAACTCTCATACTTTGCTAGTGAATGTGTAAAATAACACAAACACTTTGGAAACCAGTACACATTTTGTTTTCATAAAATCAAATAAATTCTTCCACTGTGACTCAGAAATTCTACACTTTTTGTATTTATAGCCAAAAGAAATGACAAAAAATGTCCGAGAAAACAACTTGCATGTAAATGTTCTCAAAAGTTTTATTGATAATAGAATAAAACTGAAAATAACCCAAATGCCCGTGAAAAAGATAACAGATAAACAAATTGTGGTTTATCCATAGAATAGAATACTGCTCGGCAGCTGAAAACAAAAACAACCAACCAATCAACCAACGAAACAAACAAAAAAACCATTGCTGATAGAACAAAGCTATGAAATTCTAACGATTTTTTAACTCTCCTGAGAGAAAGCAGTCAGGCACAAATGTATATATACAGTATAATTCTATTTATATAAATTTGTGAAACCAGCAAAACTAACAGATGTTGAAGAAAATGAGAACAGTTGTTACTGGAAAGGAGTCCTGATCCAGACCCCATGACAGAGCTCTCAGATCTGATGCAAGAAAGAATTTGAGGTGGATCCACAGTGTAAAGTGAAAGCAAGTTTATTCGAGAATTTAAAACAAAAAAATATGGCTACTCCTTAGACAGAGCAGCAGCATGGACTGCTCAGTTGCTTAAATTTATTACTTGTTGATTATATGGGAAACAATGTATGAATTATTCATGAGTTTTCTGGGAAAGGGGTGGGCAATTCCTGGAACTGAGGGTTGCTCCCCTTTTTAGACCATATATGGTAACTTCCTGACATTGCCATGGCATTTGTAAGTTGTCATGGTGCTGGTGGGAGTGTCTCTTAGCATGCTAATGCATTAGTGTAAAATGAGCAGTGAGGGTGACCAGAGGTCACTTTCATCACCATCTTGGCTTGGGTGGGATCTGGCCAGCTTCTTTACCACATGCTGTTTTATTAGCAAGGTCTTTGTGACCTGAATCTTGTGCTTACCCCCTATATCATCCTGTGACTCAGGATGCCTTAACCTCCTGGGAATGCAGCCTAGCAGGTCTCAGCCTTATTTTACCCAGCTCTTAATCAAGATGGAGTCACTCTGGTTCAAACACCTCTGACACAGTGATTGCTTCTTGGGATTAAATGAGAAGAATGATTACAGAATGTTCTGGAGGTGAGTTTCATGAATGCATATATTTCTCAAAACCCAGATCTCCATATTTAACTTTAACTAAATTATACCTTAATATAAAGATGATGCCAAAAATAAATATGACAAACTAAAATAAGTCAGATGAAAGCTTGTATATACGACACTACAGTTATACCCCACAGCCACAGCATCTGCATAATGGGATTGAGAGAAAAAACTTTTATGTGAGGAAAGTCAGCACCCTTTAGTTGTCAGGCTCAGAGAGACATTGAAATGCAGAAGCAGTCCACATCACACTTCCCTCTTGAGCTAAATAGTCACCTCTTGAAGCCACTTGCTTCTTGGGTTCTAGACTGACACTAAGTAGCCATAAAATGCCATATACTGGACACCATAAGCTTGTACTCCATGGTTCAACAATGTGTATCCAATCATACCATTGTTATTTCTGTGCCCAGTTAGAATTCCTGTCAAACAACTTTGCATCAGCCCACTCATTGTCCCCTTTTTTCCTTTAAAAACATGCTTGTAAGGAAGGCCTGATGGAGCACTCCCAAGGCAACATGGAAACATTTCACAGGCTGCAGCTGCCAACCTTGGACCAAATAAATGCTCTATAACAGTGTTGCCATGCTTTCTTCCTTCAGGTTGACAGGTCACATATTTTTTACCAAAAATAGTTACTTTACTTTTAGACAGGTACAAAGGCAGTTTTGGGGAGACAGAAGTAGGTATATTTGAAAAATTTCCCCACATTAAATCCACGTGTAGCTCCATTGGGATGAATATCAGACAGTCTCTTCTTCCTCATCTTGCTCCTTTTGGTTCTATTGTCATTTAAATAGAAATCTCTTTTGTCCTGTGTTCTGACTTCCTCTCCTACCAGTTCTTACTGTATTCTGGTAGTTGGCTATAATGTTTTTACATTCGTGGTGGTGTTTTTTGAGCCTGAAGAGTATTCAGAGATTTCTTTATGGTAAAACAAATAATGCAGGATTTTTCTCAGCCCCTTTGCCAAGCTCGCAGCAGGAGGTGCCCTGTCTACCCCACCCACCGGGCTGCGTCCAGCTTGTGCTCCAGCCCATGGCTCTTACAGCTACTGCAACTGTATGCTCAGCCCCTGGCAGGTGGTGGTGTGTGAAAGAGCAAGTGCAGGGTCCAGTCAGCTGTTCGAAATGCCAGCACAGTGATGAACTCCATGCAGGACTTGTTGCTGGACCAGGCATGTTTCCCCAAAAGGAATGTGATGGCACCCAGGCAGGGGTGCACATGACCCCAAAGAGACTGGAGGGGTGTTACAACATGCTAATAAACTCTTTTAGTTTTACCATCCACAGCCTGATAGACAGTGGCATGTTAGCACAGTCAGCCTCTTGCCCTGCTCTGGCCCACAGCTCCAAGGCTGGCTCAGCCCTGCCATTGCTTCCCATGGTGTAGAGTGGCTGCCCTCCTCTGGAGGAGAACAGATGACCACAATGTTATAGCTGTCTGAGTACCCACATTTGTTGGGTCCTGAATTCTTGTCCCCCATCCAAGAAGAATGAGGATATGCTGACAACCAAAGAGTGAGGGAGGTGGAGAAGAATTTTACTGAGTAATGGAACAGCTCTTCGTGGAGAAGGGATCCAAAGTCAGGTGGTTTCTCTTCCAGTGTGGCTGGGTCTGGGGCTTTTATGGGCTCAGAATAGGGGAGTGCATGATGATTGGCTTGTGACTATGCAAAAAATAGTTAAAACAAAGGCACCACTCAAAAGTGGGCACAACAGTGTAAAAAATCAATTAGAGAAGGGTAGGTATATATAAAATAGGTGAAGGGTGGGAATCAATCAGAGGAAAGTGCACCGAATGGGAAGAGAGGTTCTCAGTCCAGTCCTTGGATTTACCTGGGACTTGCAGCTAGGCTTTAAACTGTCTTTGGCTTGAAAGTGTTGTTTCAATGGTCACTCACCCCTGTCTGCCTAGGATTTGTCTATGTCCCATTGCAAAGTATTTAAAATTCTTTACAATGGAGCATCAACGAGGCTTTTCTCCTAACAGGGCCCTTCCCTCACAGCAAACTATGAATAATTATCTGTCACTGTCTTACCAAAGACCACTTCCCTCTACAGGTGAACAGAAGTAAAGAAAGTGACAAAAGTAGGTTGGGGTGACAAAACAAAATGCTTTCCTGCTGTACTTACTTCTGATATCTGAGGAATAATTCTTAAGAGAGCAATGTATTACAGATCTCAAGCTGGCTCCAAGAAAATGGTGCAGTAGGTTTCTCAGTCTTTGGCATGTCTCCAGACTCAGCCTTGTTTGTCTCTCCTAACATCTCACCTTTTCTTTCCTGGGCTCCCAAGGGCAGGCTGCACATGTCTACCAGTCCCTGTGAAAGTGTTAGCTGATAATTAAGATGATAGCTGAAGCCTAAGGTGTTAGCTGACACAGTTTAAGATATAAGCCTCCTGGTGAATTTACACTTTAATCAGGGACTTTGAAAGGTGAAATACTAATTTTGTTCTTTCCATTTTCAATGCTCCATCTTTAATATTATTTATTATGAATATTCATGAAGAATATTCAACTCATGTAATTAGGGTGAAATAAACATATTTATAACTAGATCTATCAGTTCTCATAATCTGATCCTCTTTCCACCTGCACTATTTATGAACAACATTCAAAACAAAACAGTGGCCAAAAAATAGATATATGGACCACATCATGCAGAGCTACTTATAATTACCTTTATTTCCTTCAGTCAATTCTTTCAAAAGTCAAAATGACTATCAGTAACCTTAATTGATATTTAAAATTGAAGCATGGCCAGCATAAGATTCTTAGCTCCTACAAATATGAATAAAATTGGTGTGATTTCTTAACCAAAGAAAAATGGCACAAACTTGCCAGACAAGTATTTTACTGACCTTGTTCATATTTATTCTAATTGATTACTTTCAGGGAAGAAAATATCATAACTTTGGAGGGTGACAATATCTTTGATCATTTTAAAAGTTTTACTTCATTTCACAAACTATTCTTCTGTAATTTTTATGGTTTTCTCAGTGTTACATCTGGATAGTACACTTTCACTAACTGTATGCTTTCTTATATTCTGTATTTTATACAGTTGTTGGTATACCACTTATGACCTTTCCTATCTAGGTAAAGCATTGCCAAGATATTCATATAAGATAATTTCTCATCAAGTCATCCTTCTCCTTTTCATCTGAAATGATTTTATGTTTTTTCATTTAACCTATTTCCAGTTATCAATACACACATTTTTTGAGATGAGGTTTAGCTTTATTGCATAAGCTAAGCTAGAGTGCAGTGGCACAACGATAGCTTACTGCAGTTTCAAACTCCTGGGCTCAAGCAATCCTCTCACCTCAGCCTCCTGAGTAGCTGGCACTATGGGTGCATTTCACGAGGCCCAGCTAATTTTATTTGTTTATTTATTTATGTCTTTTGTAGGAATGGAGTCTTGCCATGGTGCCTCAGCTGGCTTTGAACTTCTGGGCTCAAACAATCCTCCTGCCTCAGCATCCCAGAATTATCAATATTGAAAGCCAGTTACTGATGATAACATAGGTAAGACTGAACTATGGCTGAACTTATTCATTAATTAATGAGTGGGAAAATTAATGAGTGGGAAACCCCTGAATCTTTGTGCTTCGAGTTGAGAGGTTTCATCTGGCATCGATGCAAAAAGATGCATAAGAGGCTGAAAGTTATTAAGGGCCTCAGTGTTAGCAAGGCAGAGTGGAAACGGAAGGATATACATGGGGTTGGACTAAATGCGATATTCATGCCATTAGGCATATGATTACCTGTGGAAGAACTGTGTAACAGATCCAAAAGTTTGAATGACTGTGAGTATAAAAGAAACACTGAAATCTAAGGATAGTTAGAAGAGGTTTAGAAAACAGAATGAATTCAAATGGAATATACTGAGGTTGAGTTATCAGAAATATATTTAGAAATATCTTGAAGATAATGTGACATTTTAGAGGTGACATTAAGAGAATACATATGTCTAGAGAATTATATTTCAGAATTTAAATTAGTAGAATTGAGAAGTAAGTTTTTGTTCCCAAAAAGAGGATAAGATGAACCAGGAGTGCCAGTGAACCAAAAAAAAAAAAAAAAGAGAAATATGCAAACATAAGAAATGGGAGAAAGGAAGGATGACCAAAGAGATTAAAAAGGAGTAATCTGGGAGGTGGAGTGAGAACCAATGTCACATATTTCACAGAAAATGAGAGTTCAGAAATATTAAAAAGAGATGTCATGTCTAGTATTAACAGCTGTCATTAATATGCACTAGACCCTTTACTAAGTAAGTACCTTATCTCATTTAAAGTTCAGAACATCTCTTTAAAATAGAAGCATTAGTTGCACAAAGTAGTAAGTCTCAGAGTTTCCTAAGGGCAACTATTCAGAAATTAACAAAGTTGGAGTTTGAATCTTAGGCTGTATGAATGCGATGTAACCACTTACCTACATTATCTCAAAAATTGACTTTATGCTAAGATTGAGAATGAAAAAGGGTCAAAGTGTTTGTTAACTAAACAGTGATCTTTGAAAGAGTAGTTTGGGGATATCTATCAGGATAGAAGCTTAGTGACAGATAATTGAGATGTGAATGCACAGTAGACATTGTAGAGAGTGACAAGAAATTTGGCCCTGAAATAGACAGTTTGATGGGTTAGCCGAGTAGAACGAAGGAAATATATTAAATGCTCTTTCTCTCTCTTTTTAATGATTAAGGAAACTAGAAAATCACTGTGTGTTAACAGAATCATTTTACATTTGTAATATGGTAGTTCTGTGGGTCATCGACTCAGAGATGAAAGCTGACACAATTGAATAGCAATTTATGCTCACTGATGCATCACTGGGAAATGACCTAAATTAGATAGCCCTTGTTAAAAGTAATTACATACATGACATTAAAGAAAGTGAAATGCTAAAATACTAGGCAGAAATAAAAATGAATTACATTAATCTTGGAGAAAATACTGCTTGTTGTGTTTAAGAAATATTAGTATCCATAAACTTTAGACTCTGTCACTTCCTGGCACAGATATATAAGTTATAAAAATCTGAAAATATATACATATTCATATAAAGAAGCCTGGGATGGTGCCTTTCAAAATTAAAATAAAATGACCAGAGCCTTAATTTTATTTTTCTTCTTCCAATATATGAGTAATTTTATAATAGTGTGATATATCATAGTAACATCATTCAAAGCGTGTCTGGCTGAGAGCCACTATTAGGGCACTTGTGAGTAGATTTGTAAAACTGATATTTTGATTGAAGGTTCTAATTAATTTGACAACATTATCCCAACTTTGAAGAAACTAAACATATTAGAGTATGAGATAGAACATTGGCGTATTTTGCAAAATTTCAATTGATATGGCCCACAAAGGTGGAAGAAAATTCATTATTTATTAATATTTATAATATTATTTTTCTAAGGGACAGAAGACACGTACTTTTTCATGCTGGGGCAGCTGGCACTTAATTCAAACATACTGTCCTTCACTCTAACACATTGATAGACATTTTGACACAAATAATGCACATTTTTTAACACCTTCAAATATAAGCATACACACAAAACACATTAAATGATTGTCTATAGGCAGTGTATGGGCCAGGATACAAACACACACACACAGACACATACAGACACACACACACATACACACTTCTTTTGTCTTGGTGTGGCCATGTGACCTAGTTATCACTCAGTAAATGAGAGTAGAAATAAAATATGCACTCACTAAAGGGCCTCTTCTATCTATAGGAAATGTCTCTTTGGGCTTTCTCTCCTTCATGTGGATATGCAGTCACCCAGTTCTGACTATATAGAAGACACAATTACCTTGGAAAGAGCAACCCAACAGTATGGAAAAAATATTCCTTGAATGCCCTCAGGAAAAAATGTTTTCTTTGTAGCCTAGACTTTACTGACTGTTATAGAAAGGAAAGAAATAATAATAATAATAATATATTGTATTAAAGAAATAATAATAATAATATATTGTATTGAAACAAGCTTTATTCTTAGTTGAATCAGAATTCCAAGGAAAGAGACTGAGATGTGTTTGCCTTGTCGATGATCACCAATAACAATGACATTCACATGCAAGGCTGAAAGTTTTGCACCATTAACTGTCCCCAAGAAAGCCTGATTGGAAAGTATTATTAATTGTAAGTTAGAACAAAATAATCTTTTTGGAAAGGGCTGCAAATAATCTAAAATCTTCCATTTTTCTTCTTATACAATTTTTCCTAATTTACACAAATTTGGAAAAGAAAATTCCTATCCTTGTTGCTCAAGATTCTCATTATACACTCATCCCACAGGTAGCCTTGCCCGGCTCTCAGAAGTACATTTTATTTTATAAATATACATACTTGCACATGCAATTTTCCATAATAAAATCATGTAAGTCATAATATTTAAATAACTTTTTTTTATTCACAAAAATATTATGGACAGATTCCATGTTCAGTACATATAGTTCTACCTCTATTTTTTGTGGAAATGTTGCTTAGTATTTTATTCTATTCCTCTACAAATAGTGGAATAGCCATTTATCATGGTTATTTAGATTGTTATTGGTATTTTTCTGTTACAATATATGTTTCAATAAGTTGTACACAGGTGTGTATATAGATTAATACGTATTTATGTACTCAAGCTACTATTTCTGTAGCTAGATTCATAGTATTGTTATTCTGAATACGGCAAGCATAATTCATACTAAAATCTTCCCCCCGAAATGTTGGCCCCACAAATAATATATTAGAATGTCCATTCTCTACACTCTCACCACTAGATGCTAGGTTTTCATCTTCAGAATATGATTAAAGTTCTTGCAAGTGGCCAATATCAGATACAGATACACATGACATCTCTAAGTAAAAAGTGTGAGGAGAATTATTGAAATATGCAAGTTCACTCAGATAACATAAAGTAGGGTAATGGTTACTAACACTTGGTGTGTGTTATACATAGTTAACTTTCAGTTAGGAAGCACGGTAATTACATTGCCCCTTTTTAACCTTTCAAAATATATGTAATGTAAATGTTCTCTTTTTGTTCATATTGTTCCCTCTAGAGGCATCAGATGGTGTAATTTGGATTTACACCATCACAGTAATTGAAATATGAATATATTCGAATTGCTTTCACAATTATGAAGCTTGAATTTAATTATTTTTAATAAGGTGGGTAGTGGGATACAATCACAAAAATAAACAATATATTTCTTGCTGTTCATGGCACTGTGTCAACTACTATGCAGCATGAAGCTAATACAGAGGACATTACGTGAATTCTCAAAGATTTGCATTTGAAATTCTTTAGGATAAAAATTAACATGGAATGAAGTTGATTGTGATTTAAAATAATTTCATATTCTTTGATTTACTTCTATTTTTCTTTGCTACTTTTCATCTTTTTGTATGCAAGTGTGAGGGACTAACTGATTATTTTCAGAAAGAGTAAAAGAGAAATGTCTGTAAAACATGATGTAGTAGAGTAATTGAGAAGCCTCAAGCGATGTAAAGCGAATGGGGCTTTAAAAGATGACACCTAGGAAACCGGATTTTCCCAGAGTCTGAACTACTAGAATAGGAAAAACTATACAGAAAACAGAATAGTGAAAATGTGTGCAATAAAAATGAAACACACCATTTTATCACCATAGAAATCAGACCAATAATAAATAAATATTCTGTGAAACGCAGGCTTTGCCATTAAGATATCAAAAGCCTTTAAACCAAGTGGCAAGTTCTTTATACGAAATGAAAGCAAATTCCAGATAGAGGGTATTTTTCAATTAAAAAATTTATAAGATCCTATGATTCCTCACACAAATGTAATATGGTGCAGAACAACACCAAATTACCATTCTGCCCTCATCCCACGCCTGAGGAGTACATTACTGGTAGGAAGACAGGTTTCAGATAATATCAGAGAAACATATAGAGTAAATGTGCGTGCAAAATTCCCAGTTGTGCTTGTTTAATTAGATGCTGGTAACAGCAGCAAACAATAGTAAAGAAGGCATGGAAACAGAGTGTTAATGAGATTCAAATAAATCAGATATCACTGTTGGACTACAGATAAAAGACAAGCTCCAGTATATCTGCATTTTAATCAGCCTGATCACAGTTTTGATGAATGTGCCAAAGGGACTGTTCTTTGCTCTGTTTTCACAGTGAGTGAAAGGCAACAAAAGGAGCAGTTTTGATTTTTACACTTCCTGACAGATGAGTCATATGGGATTAATGTTGGAATTCATTAAAGCTAGAATTCTACCTAAGGATCATATTTCACAGGATATATACATTACCATTTTATAAAGGTGACATTTAAGAGTCTGGTTAGCTATTTAACAGATTTTGGCAATTGGACAGGACCTAAGTATATACACATGATATTACTAAATATATATGCATCCATAAACACACAACACCAAAGTGTCCTACATTGCTTAGGAAAATATTCTGAGCCATACACAAAAATACATCAATTTTGCTGCTATTAAATAAAAGCAAGAACTTCC